ATAATAAGAGGAAGTAAGAGATAAAAGAAGGAAGGGAAGAAGGATTGAAGAGAAATTTCATGATTTTCTAAAGTGTAATCAACTCTGAATTTGAATAGGAATGAAAACAACAAAATGCCAAAATATTTATTCACTCGCTCTAACTTGTCTTCTTCCTTCTTGAAATACTGGGGATTGAGCACAAGGCCTTCTCAATAAGCAGTGCCCCTGTTCTGTTTATGTTTTTTATTTTTGAGACATGGCCTTAGTAAATTGTGGGGCTCAAGTGGGACTCAAACTTGTGATCCTCCTGCCTCAGCCTACTCTGTGTAGACATGATTATTTACACAGCACACAAATAAATGGGGCTGATAGAAATAAACTGTGTTTGTACTTTCTTGAGGTAAAGTTGAGGAGACATCCACATCAATAAACTCTGTATTTTAATGAATTGGAAAGTATCTGATGATTTGAGCTCTGCCCACCAACTTCATTTTTATTTTCAAAATAAAAATTAAATTAAGAAGGGGGAAATTGTAAAATGCTGTACACATGAACAAATCCCTACGAAGGGTCCAAGAGATTGAAAGAGATGGAGAAGAGGTGGGAATAGGCATTTTAAAAAGGATTAAGGAAGCTGGGCATGGTGGTGCACACCTGTATTCCCAGCACTCGGGTGGCTGAGGCAGGAGGATGATTTCCAATTTGAAACCAGCCTGGGCTACAAAGTGAGCTCAAAGCTAGCCTGAACTGCATAGTGAGACCCTGTCTTAAAAAGACATAAAAAAAAAAAAATTAAGGAATGTTGTGTACGTGTCCCAACTCCCCATGAAGAATATAATTATTGGGGCTGGGGATTTAGCTCAGCGGCAAAAGCGCCTGCCTGGCAAGCGCAAGGTCGTAAGTTCGGTTCCCAGTACCGGAGAAAAACAAACAAACAAAAAAAATTATTATATACCATAACCATGTACCAATAAAAAAAGAACCTTACCTACCACAATTGTAATTCAAATGTAAATTTCCATATACTCCTCACTTTCAGTTCTGAAATGTAAATAATACCTCATAGTATAATTCAGTTTCTTGATAAACTATGCCCAATAATTCTTATCATAAATATTTTATACAGGCTGTTGTTATTTGGTGATTATTATCTGAATGGATTATAAATTAAAAATCAGAATAAGCAAAAACGGTTAGCATTCTGTATGCTTTAGTATAAGCGGATGTTTTTCCTCATTCAGCTCTTAATTTCTTCCACAAACTTTCATTCATTTCTTCCATTAAATAAGACACCCACTGCCAATGAGACAAGTGGTGAATAAAAATAAAGCTTTTTGTGACTAATACAAAACATGACCCTAAAACATTCCAAGGTATTCTTGTTTATTTAATTCATAACAGGACATCACATCTGTTAAAATAATGGATTTTACTTCTATCAGTTCACTTTTAATTCTTTAGGATCCCTGTCTAGCTGTAACAACAGATGCCTAGGAAACAACGTGATCCAGTTTGTTTAACCGAACCAAATCCTCTAGTTCTAATGTTCTCTTCTCTCCACCCTGTGTACTTTGACGTTGTCCTTTTCTCCTACTTGATGAAATGTATACACTCAGAACTTTAAGTAAAATATGCACTGATATAGAATTTAAATCATTGCAAAGTTCTCTGGGCAAAAATAACATTAAATGCAAAGACTACTTACTAAGTTTCCAACAATTTTCTTGGTACTTTAGCAGTTGGGGATATTGGGATGAATAAAAAATAAGCCTAACATCCATATAGTCTTGCTGGGTGTTGAAACTATGTACATAAAACAAGTTCTCTCCCTGTTCTCTGAGCACTTTCCAATCACCCCAGCAGCCACGGAACTGGATTGACCCAAACTTCTCCCAAATCTAGCAACTATTCAGTTAGTGGGTACCACAAGCGAGGAGCTCCTGCCCTTCACTAGCAGATGTGGTAGTTATTAAATATGACTAATATCAATACTGGTCACCATGTGCATTCATTTGTAAGACGTGTTTTGGGAGACCCAAAGATGAGATGAATTCAAACTCTGAAGATTTGGGTAGCCTGAAGAAATCAGTTGAAATACGGGTTTGGTTGTCACGTGACAAAATAGACCTTTCTCCTCTTATATAGTCCTTTCATCTGTGATGTTTTGAATTGACTCTATGTTAGGAAATAGAGCTGTTATTTCATTTGTTTGTCTTTAAGAATGGTGAACTATAAGACAAGTGCACCTCTGATCATAAACTATGTCTGTGTGCAGCTTTGATCTTGAGGTCTGGAGCCAGGATCTGCTGTGGTACAGGGGCCATTTCATGGACTCACCCAGTCCTTCTCAGTCATTAGGCCAAAATCTGGAGCAGGGGACTTCAGGTAAGGAACCACATACCAAAGGCACTTGGAAAATGTTTTCAACATAAAGAGAATACCAACATCAGCTTTACAACATCATGATTAAACTCAAATTATATTTGACATCTATCTTTTTGATGCAACCGTACTTACTAAATTTAGGAATGCTAATAAAATAAAACCCAAGATTTTATCCAGTATTTCTATTAGTCGAAAATCTCCAAGGAGATTTTGCAGTTGTTACCCCTCATGCGTGCCTTGTAATAGGAAAACAATAGAGGAACATTTTCAGAAGAAAAGTAAAGAGACAAGTAATTTAAGCTTAGTACTTAAAAGCTCTGTTGGGTAGGAAAGTCCAGTATGAAAAAAAAAAGCGATATTTTTACACAATATTAAAACAAGAAATCTTCAATGATAGTTGCTTAAAATGTCTGCAATTATATAGAACTTGGAAGGGCCACCCCCCGCTGTTTTCCATTCAAATAAATGGGAAGCACATGGGTAAATTACTGCCTGCAGTGCATGATAGCGGACATTGTACGCAGCTGTCACTGTAGCCCTGTAATTATGCAAGTATCCTTCCACTATTATACAATTAGAAGGGCCTATCTTTCTTTTTTCCACTAGGTAATGTTTTTGTTGATGTCAAGAGCACGGAACCATCTCTACTTGTTCAGTCGCTTGTGTCTGGCTTGAACACAGCTAGTACAGTACACAGAGCTCATTGTTTTTCAACATCCGTTTTTGTGTCCTGTGAGAAATTTCTATCATAGTGAGAAAGCTGGTCTTATTCCAGTTACATCTTATAAAAACAAACTCAATTTCTATCTCCTTCATAGTCATGGGTGCTCTTGAACCCTGTTAGCGTGGGAGACAGGGAAGATCACACATTATGGAAAACTTTCAATGTCTTAAATAGATCAGAGGATGGAATAAAATTCTAAAGCACAACCACTGTTTTTTCTGTGTTACTTTTTAAATTAAAAAATAGATTTAAAAAATCTAGGGGTTCATAAACCTTTCAAATGGAAGTATTTCAAGAGGACTAAGGAATAGATATTTAACAGACTTAGATAATCCAAAATAAATTGTGAAATATCAAAAAGAAAAACATGAAACATATATCTAAAGGCACCTTAACTAAAAAGATCTATACTTTCATTTGCCTCAAAGTAACTTGAACAGAGAGCCACATAGAGACTAAGCATTCATGTGTCTGATTATAAGAAGAGAAGAGTTGTGTAGTTGGCTGTTTCTATATGGCATTCATTAGTAACACTGGCATATGTTTTGATTGCTATCATTATACTTCTAGTTTAGAGCCGAAAATACACATACAATTCCTAATTTCACTCACTATGCACTAGAATTTACACACCATTGCTAAATAAAACCTATTCAAGTGTCACATAAAAAAACCAGAAAGGGTCACTTTGAAATGCTGACTAGGTATTTAGGAATTTATACTTGGTATACTAGAAAAGTAAATTTCAAAACAAATTCAGGATCATGTGATTATAGAACTTGCATTGATCCCCCACATAATCAGTTTTAATTAGACAATATCAGTAAGACAACATCGTTAGCGCTTCCTCGATTTCTTAGCATAGATGAAGGATGCACAAAATTAAAACCAGCACACAAAGTTTAAAAGTGCATTGTTCCATTTTAGTAAGCTTCTGGCTTCAAAATGACATTTTCATTAAAATGACTACATTAGTGTTTGCATTGTAAAAATATAAAAATAAAAAATAATTTCAGAAACATTGAGAATCCCAGACTGTTTTAGTTTCTTAATCTGAAAAAATAATAAACTCCACAAAAATATAGTTCAAAATGATGCTTCTTTGTTATAAGGCACTCTTGCATGGTATTTCAGGGAAGAATATTATAAATTTAACACTGAGGGCTTTAAAATTCTTCTCAGAATTTAACAGTAACGTTCTTTAAGACTGAATCATTACAGTGATCTTAAAATTCTCTCTCTATTGGACACTGTCAATCCCCAGTTCTCCATAAGTAAATCTCCATAACAAACGAATAAGATAAATATTTTGTATCCCTACTTTTCAGAAGAAGACATCGTGGTTCAAGGACTGTAAGTAATGGGCACAAATCAAATAAATAATTAGTGGACAGGATAGAATTTCTGTCAATGTCTGTCTGACTTCCATCATCCTTTACATTGTACAACATAATTCAGAAGTCTACCTACCTGGGCCAAACTGCTTCACATTGCCTCAATAAAGCCTTATCAATAGCTTAATGGTATTTATATAAGTATTAACAACTTATTCATAAGATATCATTCTTACATTTTAGGTGAAAAGTAACTTTTTATGTTTTTACTTGCATTTTCGTCCAAACAGGACCATATTCATCAGGGTATGCCTTAGAGTTTAATATGCTAAGTCCCAGTGTCACACCTTTAGCTCCAGTCCTCAAATACCTCATGCCTTTGTTAGTGTCACGCCCCTATGCCCCCAAAAAAGTTTTTATTTTTTAAATAGTGGAAAATTTCCGGCTTTCTTCCTTCCCTTCCCCACTCTCTTCTTCCCTTTCTTTCTTGCGGTACTAGGAATCAAGCCCAGGGATTCTCTACCTATAAGTCACTGCCCCAGCTCTTTCTATTTTGTAGTCTGAAACAGATTCTTGCTAAATGGACCAAGCCAGCCTTGATCTTGCACTCTTCCTGCCTTAACTTCCTGAGTAGCTGGGATAAGTAGCAGGCACGGCACCATGTCTGGCTAAATAGAAGAAAATCTCAACCCCAACACATTTGAGCCTCCAAAGTCTTTACTTCCCAAGGTAAGTAAATTACCTAAACATAGGTTTGACATTATAAGTCCATTTCTCTTTACCTCTTGGCTCTGAATTCGCTTGTTGGCTTCATTTCAGACTGGGAATGTCTTCAAAGTACCTAGTAACATGACTAATACCAGTTATGGGCATTTAACTTAAAGCCAATGAAAAAGAAAGCTCTTCTTCCCCAAGCATTTGAGCTAAAATCTTGTGCCTTAACTCTGCCCCATTGAAATTGGGTCACATGACCTTCACTAAAGTGATGAAACCATCTGCCCATTAACCAAGTTCCACTCACTCACTGCCTAAGACCTGAAATGCCATCAAGAATCCCAGAACCGCAGAGGCCTCGAATAAAAAAGAGATTTTTTAAATAGAAAGAGAGCACTGTCTAGTGGGAATATAATGTGAGCTACATGTGTAATTTTAAATACTTTAGTAGGTGCCTTAAAAATAAGAAATATATGGGAAGTTAATATATTTCATGTAACCTAATGTATCTAAACTATTTCAATTTCAATATTTTCTTAATGTAAATATTTGTTGATGAGATATTGTTAAATATTCTTTAAATTTGGAGTAAGTCTAGTGTATGTTTTACTCTTCCAGAATCACCCAATTTATTCAGATATACAATTCTTTGATTGAACTGGTCTCAGTTCAACTGCCCAGTGTCAACACTGAATTCCATACAGCGTTTCATAATGGATTTCTTACTGCGCAGCACGTTCTAGAATCTAGAGGACACTTGAAGTGTAATGTCATCATATGGAACATAAATGCTATTGGTTGGTGTTATGGTTTGTGTCTGGATGTCCCCCCAAAGCCTCATGCAGTCACGGGGCAGGCTTCTCGAGTTTATGATTGATACATGGTCCAATGCTGGGATTATGGGTGTGAGCGCTACACCTGCCCTAGAGCAGGTATCCTGCATACAGTGTAACAGAGGGAACCTGGCTTGCTCTCTGGCATAGATTTTGTTGTTTTCTGCTGCTATGAACTGTTGCCTTCTGCCATGTGCCACTCTGCCTGGAGTCAGCCAAGTATGGACTGAAACCTCCACAGACTATGAGCTAAATGAACCTTTCCTTCCTTAATTCTGGGTATCAGGTATTTTATCTCAGCAATGAGAGAAAAGTAACCAAGACAGTTGGTAAATAACACAAACACACCAGAGCTTCCTAATTGGGTTGCTATTTTTGGTCTTTCAATATTCTGGTCATATTAATACACAGGCCAACAGTAAGACCAAGAAGTTCAAAAATGTAGACAATACTTTCAATCCCTTTACTGATTTGTCTCATTGATCTTCTGAAACTGACTCATCATACTTCTGTATCTATGTTTTGACCCAACCTGGAAGTTGGATATACTACATAGCTACATATTGCTTAGACATCTGTGTAGAAGTGGGTATCATTTACAAATATCTGCCTAGGAAAATTGTGTGCCAGCGAGCCAGTTTTTACTGAATTTAGCAATGAGGATTTGCTATTGGTCCTTAATGGTCAGGTTCCAAGGATGCTAAACATCTTGCAGTGTATAGGAAAACATTGCCCAAGGAAACTTTTCAGATCAAAAACTTTACTATTGTTGCCAGGTATGAAACATTGGTAAACTGGTAATAAGTATTATTGCTTATTTCCTAAATAAGAAAGCACTGCTCAAATTGGAAGAATTTGCCAGTTTCTATGGTGCAAATACTCCTATGATGGGTAATTTCAAGCTACCAAGCTAATTTTTAAAAATATAAATATAAAAATTGCCTGGTAAATGTAGATCTTAATACCTAGAAATATGCTTAAACAATATGTGATAGTCAACCTTACACAAATCCTTAAAAATTCTGAACATATAATATCTAACAAGAAGGGACTGACACTTGGAAAGCAAATTAAAAGTTGACTTTATTTTTTGTTTTGTCCTTTTGAGACAGGGTTTCACTACGCACTTCAGACTGGCCTTGAACTCACTTTGGAGCCCAGGCTGACCTCGCACTCATGGTGTTCCTCCTGCCTCAGCCTCCTGAGTGCTGAGATTACAGGCATGCACCAGCATGCCCTGCTATTATTTAATTTGATTTTAACCAAGAGTTAGTTTAGTAATGCAATACTTCTCCATGGAGATGAATGGAGGAAAATCATTTCAATAAAACTCTAAGGCACTAGCAATTGTTGCACTACTGTATATGGAAACAGAGACCATAGCTTTTACACCAGAGTTGGCCTAATCTCAGTTTCCTTATATTTGCTTGAAGAACTGCAAAAAAGATGTATCCCATTGCAAAATAGTCCATTCTTATCCAAAACTTTCAATTTTTAACTTAGACATTTAATTTACTAAATGTTTCATCCTATAATTGATCTGAATTTTAAATTCCATATACAATATTCAAACACTATACACTGGAAGAACACTATATTCAGAAAATCAAGTAAATATGAAAACACATTTGATTTTAAAAATTTATGCCACAGTTATTTAAAGATTTCACAGTTTTAGCGTATTATATATTTAGCTTATATTTATGCTAAATATATACTTTTGTGACTTTTCACCTTAAAAATTAACTCTAAAATACAGTATGTGGTATTCATGACAATGTATAGCTAAAAGATTGGGATTGCTTTAAAAATACTTTGGAATGGTGAAAAATTGCTCAGTTTTGTTTAGGACACAAGTCATGTTTTGAAAATAATATCTCAGAAAGAAGTATAATTCTTTGGATCTTTTATCAAATTATGAATGTGCACATATTTTGAAATAGCTATAAACTCATTTTCTCATGAGAAATTAAATCTCCCAAGATTACACAGTGAGGTTTATTTTCATTGCCAGTACTATCAAAATACAACAAATATGTTTAGAGAAGTATTCTTATTTAGAGAAGCATTTTTACCACGCAGAAAATCCACGTTTTTACTATGAAATGACACTTTCCATCAGAGAAAAACCAAAACATGGCATCACAATGCCCCCTATTGTTTGAAATGAGGCATGCGTTAAAATAATTTGCAAATTGCATACAAATAAAAGGAAATTTGGTAATTTACTGTGACGTTCAGAACATATATAAACATTTTAAAAGAGCCCCAGGCTTTTAAAAAGAACATTTTTAAAAAAATTTAAGGTTTGTAACTTGAGTAATTTGCCTATTAAAAGGAGAAATTCTAAGAGCTCCAGAAGAAACAGATTAAAAGCCAGTGAGGTCAATAACAGTAAACTTATTTTCATATCTATTTTGAATTAATGTATTTAAATATTTGTTATGTTATTAAATAATGACCCCCAACGGACACTATTCTTGCTTCAAACGTTCAAGCCATTCAAAAACAGGTGAAAATCAGTCTCTCCGAGAAAATGGTAAATTGTGATATACAAAGCAGCCACATGATGGCAGCATGTCACCATATAAATGCAAATCAGACAGTACTTAGAAAGGAAATCCCCAGAGACAGTGCTTAACCTATGAAATACTTTCTATAGTGCAGAAAATATTGCCTATGAGTGTTTTCTTATCATTTCACAATGTCTATCATACCTCCAAGTTTAAATTAACTCTTTCAGGTTTTACACCAGTGAGACAATGTGGTGCTTGCACATGCAGGTCTGATTTATTTCACTTATGGTCTCTGTTTGTGACCATTTACCTATAAAGGCCTCGAGTTTATCTTTATTTATAGCTGAGTAATATTCCATTCTATAAAAGTACCACAATTTTCTTATCCAACCCTCGGTGGATGGACAGTTGGGTTGCTTCCACAATTTAGCAATTACAAATTGTGCTGCTATGAACATAGTTGCACATACCTCACTGTGATACGATGTTTTTAGATCTTCTTGGAAAATACCCAGAAGGGGAATAGCTGGGTTGAATGGGACCTCTAAACCTAGTTTTCTGAGGAATCTCCAAGCTGATTTCCGTAGTAGGAAAACGCTCAAGGGTAAAGGGCAACTGGGATGTGGGAAAAGAGAAGGGAAAGAAGGAGAAATTTTGTATGTATGTATATACAGGATAGTTAACATAGTTGTTCTACTGTCTTCTATTTCTTTACTGAAAGAAACTGTCAATGAGTCCTTGATTGATCAATATTGCATGTCTCTATCTGTTTTCATGAGAAAACACTTTGAAGATATCAATATGTAATACAGCAAGCATTGTTAATTTCCTACCACTTTGCTTGTAACTCTGTATTGTCTGTACTGTTCTTTTGCTATTATGTAAAAGGTCGTCTGTCTGTTAATGTTTTCCTCCTTTTATTTTTAAAATAAAAAAGAAAGAAAATGTTGCCTAAATTCCTACACTTTAGTATGAGTATACTCTTGTTATCAATTTTGTTCTGTGGCCAAGTATATTGATTTCTGTATATGCTACTTTTTGTAATATGTACCATGAATATATGGTACATGTAAACTATGTGCCTTATTTTAACCTGTTATAATAGTCTATTACATCTAAAATTTCAGCGGATGAGGGATTTGAGCACTCCGTAAAAAGTTAGGAATTATGGAGCTCTGCGCTAGCTCTGCGCTCTCTCTCAAATATGTTCCTAACTGTGGTCCACCCGCTCCACCCTGCTCCTCACTGCCTTCCTCCCTGCACCTCCCTTCTTACTGGGAGAATCCTGAACGTCTTCTGGACTGGGCAGCTGTTCTCGGCATCAAAATTGCAAATAGCTTGAAGGTTAGAAGAAAATCTGATTATGCTCTCTTTGAAGTTACTAGAGTGTGGGGATAAGACATTCCAGGTTCTCCTGACAGCTGGACCCAAAGTGCTTTCCTAAGAAATTCTTCAACTGTTTATGGTATTGTTGACAATTAAACAATTAAATCCATAACATCTAAAAGAATCAAAGATAAATTTGATTACTCATTGTGCTAAAGATAAAAATAAGCAACCTATTTTTCCATGGAGTAGATATAAATGTCAAATTTTTAACTGTATCTAGGGGCCAAAAGACCTACTTTCTGAAGTTTTCTAATATATGTATTAGTAATTCATTCAT